GGGGGGGGGGGTCAGGGTCACTCACCTGCGTGTCCTCGGGCTCTTCTGAATTCTGGAATCAAGCAGCAGAGAGAGAGGTGAGCATTCACACGGCAGAGTGACAACCCAGTGCTGACAGTAGGACAAATCCTGCTGTCCATGTTTGCCCAAACAGCTGAAACTGCCCAGGTGTTGGAGCAAGAGTGGAGCCAGGACTGCAGCATTTGCCCCACGCCCTGCAGCAGCCCAGGGAGAACTGAAACATTCCCAACACTGGGAGTCCCAGGGGAAGGGCCCCTCAGCACCTGAATCCTGGCACAGCAGCCTGGCCCAGAAGGGTTGGCCATGGTCCTGTCAGGCCTGGGAAATCCCAGCATCCGGGGCAGCAGGGGGTTTGGTGTCACTGTGGACACCACTTCTCCATGCCCTGATGGTTTGGGGGGGAAGAGGGGGGAAATCTCAGTCTGCAGCCTCCCTTTCTCAGCAGCTCCCGCTGGGCCCCTCCATGTGTCTGGGTGTTTCGCACCTCCAGCTGCTGTCATCTCACAGCAACACACACCAACCTGAGTGTGCAGCACCACCTCTTGACAGACCTGCCCCCGGCCTTCTCCCCAAAGGGCCCAGCTCTGCCCTGTCTCACTGCTCACAAGGATGGACAAAGATCTGACTGCCCCTCGCTTGTTCTGACCCGAGCCCTTGTCACGTGTCCCCTGCTGGCTTGTCTCCTCTGGAGATCACATCCTATCGCTCAGCCCAGTTGCCCCAGACATGGGAACAGGTGCCCATTGGCTGCTGCTTCCTCCCCTGCAGCGTGCCCACAGGACTCACCTCTCTCAGCAAGCAGCCCCTCTGCAAGAAAGAGAACAAGCCACATGTTAGTCCCCATTGGGGGGGTTTCTTTAGCACCAGCACTGGTAAAGGCTCTCAGGGCTTCTTCAGTGCTGCCATTCCCCTAGAGAGCTGGTGAGGATGGGGATGAATACACAAACTGCCATTATCCCAGAGGCTCAGCTGGGCTCAATGAGACATCCTTCCTGGAGGCCCTGGGCACTGAGAATCCGGCCCTGAATCCATTTGTGACAATGACTCATATCAGAGCAGCCAAGACCCTCCCCCAAGGAATCCCTCGCCCACTGTCCTGCCCCGCAAAGGAAGCACCGGGGAGGGCTCTTCCCCCGCACTCATGGATGTTGTCATAGATCAGGTGCATGTTGGATGCCACTCTCACCTTCAGCCCCTACATGCACCCAGGCAGGGCTGAGATCAAAAGGCTGCTTCCCTTCATAACAGCTTTCCTGGAGCTACCACACTCCGGCCAAACCTTCCTCGTGATGATGACTCCCTGAGGTTGCTCACCTGAGCCCACCCCAGGCGCCTGCTGGCAGCTGCTGCTGGGAATGCTCCAGGGCTGTGATTTATGCACAAACCTCTGGGAAGTGAACCTCCGGCTCCCAACCTGAGCATTCACACGGGGCCTCTGGCTCCAGAGTCCCAGCTCGAGTGTCAGGATCTGAGCATCGAGCAGCAAACCCCAGAGCGAATGAAACACGGGACACTTCCGCACAGCCAGCCCCGCTAGGAGAACCAGGCCTGTGCTAAGGGGCCCAGGACCCAAGCAGCAGAGCCACATGTATCAGAAATGGCAAACTATGATCGCGGCTTCAGTCATAGATTCATATATATATTCATAGATTAAGGGTCGGAAGGGACCTAGTAGATCTTCTAGCCCGACCCCCCACCAGGGCGGGAGAACAACAAAAAACCCCAAAAAGAGAAACGGGACTCAAACGAGTCCAGCCAGGTAGGCATCCAGCCTCTTCTTAAAGACCCCCAGGGTAGGGGGTCATCGCCATGGAGTCCACCCCGTGCAGCCCTGAAGAGCTGGGGCACCAAGGGCTTTCCTAGGACATGGACCACAGGCCTCCAAGCCCCGCTCTGCTCCTCTGGACACATGAATGAAAGGGCTCCCATCACCCAGCTGCACAGTGTCTCCCACAGGACCCTCTCCTCCTCCCCCAGTACAATCAGACAGCAGACCTGGAAATGTCCCTTACCCAGGAATCCCATCAGAGCCTCCTGCAGCTTGTTCTCTCCAGGGAAATCCCAGATTGTCTTCTCTAGCTCAGGAAACTTGGGGGCTGCATGCAGAGGTGTCCCCTCCTCTGCCCTGCAGAGACACAAGGGCAATTATTCCTCTCACACCTCAACCAGAAGCCTCCACATCTTAAAGGCAACAAAGGGAAATGGGTGGGCCACAGGGCAGAGACTGGGTGTGACAGGCCTGGCGGGGCCTGTGCAGTGTGCTGGTTCCCAACCCTGGGGACTGAGAGGTGATATTTGTATTCAGGTTGCTAGTAGAGCTATTCCAGCAGAGCTCAACCACAAACCCTTCCTGTGCAGCCACAGCTCACACCAGCAACGCAGCGCTAGTCCCTCTACAGCTTGCTCCAGTGTCGGAGGGGAAAGCTGTACTGGGAAAAAAGTGGTTTCTGGTGTAGCTGAGTTTGTCCCAGGGCTTTTGTCCAGACAGCTGCACTGTGCAGGGGTTGGAGATGGTCACACTCCTAACAAGCCCTGGCCTTGGTCCATCCTCAGAGAAATGCAGGCCAGGCAATGCCAGCCTGAGCCCCTCTGACACGTGGCCTGATCACAGGCCAGGCTGGAGCAGGGAGAAGCTGCTCCTGGGACTGAGGGGCCGTTCTCCAGGCCCAGCTCCCCCTCCCTTTCACTCCCAGCCTCCAAGGGGCCGGGTCACTGGTGATATCTCGGCACATGGACACTGCCTCACTAGGGCCTGGGCTGAGACACTCGGGTCCCTCCCCACAAACCCCCGAGTCCCTCAGACAGGACAGACTTGCAGCCGTTGCAGAGGCCAGATCCCAACCAGGACACGAGGATGGGCTTATTGAACCTAGGACTGCGGGGCAATCCCCTGCCCAGGCTGGGTCACAGGGTGGCAGGAGCAACCCCAGGGCCTCATGGATAGAGGCTGGGTCCAGGGCTGAGACTGGCCCACAGGCAGATGCTGGTGGCTGAGGCTGCAGCCGAGTCTTGGCCAAAGGGACAGGAGGGATGAGATGAAACCCAAACGTACCTGCTCACAGTGCTTCTGACATCCTGGAGGGGACAAGAAACAGAACAGAGAGTCACTGTCGCAGCCCAGCTCGTCCTTGTGCTGCCAGGAGCAGCCACACTTACATCCGCTGCTTTACCGGGATGGCTGCCCCTCCGGACTGAGCCTGGGGCATAGGGCAGGAGCTGGAGCAACCTTTCACCACCCTGTCCTGCCTCCCCGACTGCCCCAATCCGTGTCTCCCCGCAGCTGCAGTCCTGGGTCCCTGCATCACCCTGCCAGCTCCCTGGGACTCAGAGGCCATCAACTCTCTACACTGGGTGCTGGGTACGTCTGATGGACTCTCACCTGCAGGAGCTTAGGCACCGAAAGCTGGCACTTCCCCTCCAGCTCCGTGATCAGGGCGCTCAGGCGGGCAGTCTCATCACGCAGGCAGGCGGCATTTTCCTGCCCCCTGCTGACAATCTCTGCATCCAGCTCCCGCAGCCGGGCCAGGAGGACACGCTCGCGGTCATCCAGGAGCTGGCGCAGCCCATTGCACTCAGACACCACCAGCTGCCTCTCCAGCTCCGTCTGCCTCTGGGATGGGCAGAGACATGAAAGAGCAGGGGGGCAGGGCCATGAGGAACAGGGGGAAGGAGAGGTGGAAACTGGAGTCAAGGGAGATGGTCCCAGTCTGCCAGGCTGCAGGAAATGTCTCATTCACACCCCACAGGGTCCAGCCCAGGGCATTTCTGGGGAATGCAGCCCTCTTGGTACATAGGGGAATTTTTCAGGGCTCCCAACCCGCCCAGCACTGCGGCTGCAGCAGGGCCCCCATGATCCAGGGGTTTGCAGGGCAGGGCCCCGAGAGCACAGTGCTGCTGCGACTCATCCATGCTGTAGACACCTTCCCCCTTCCCAGGGCCCTGCCTGACCTGCTGAAGGGGCTCCAGAGCCCTCGTCCAGGCCCAGCACCTGCCCTCCCCTCCCCTCCCTGCCCAGCCTTGGGGAGCAGGGCCGGACACTGCTTTCCCTACACCAGTGTAAATCGTCAGGATCCACCTGGATTTCAGGGCTGTCACTCCTGATTTACACCAGGGAAGTGAGACCATTCTCATTGTTGGCTCTGCACCGTTTAACTGACCCTGAACTTTGCAAGGCTGCAGGCTTGGACATCTTTCCTCCCCTCCCAACTCTGCCGACACGGAGCAGCATGAGACCCCCGCCCTGATGCCAGCGCGGCCCTCCCTGCGCCGGGTCCCCACCAGAAGCCTTTCACTCTCCTGCTCCCAGGCGCGCTTCAGGCCCTGCAGCTCCTCTCTCTGCTCCCTCAGGCGCTCCAGGCGGCTCCGGATTTGCTCCTGCAAAGACAGGAAATGGCTCTGATGTCTGCTTTGGGTCCCTCAGTTTGTGCCCTGCAGTAAAACCCTCCCTGCGCAGAGCGAGGTTGTGTGAGCACTTCCCATGGGCCCGAGGCACAGAGCGAGCGACCCCAGCTGCAAGGGGACCGGCCCTCCCAGACCCACTGTCTCTGGGCAGGTGCCTGCGCCCTGATCTCAGCAGGTCCCGGCTCTGGTCCAGGCTGCGCACGGGGGTTGTCTGACCGCAGAGCAGGGGGAGCTGTGACTCCCAGGCCCAGGACAGCTGCTCCCTACCCTGTAGTCCTGGGCAGCCTCCTTAACGGGAACCACCGTGTGATTTCTGTGGGCCCGGGATCTATCACACACCACACAGATGGGGACTTCGTCCTCCTCGCAGAAGAGCTTCAGGGCCTCATGGTGCCTCTTGCACATGCGCTGCCCCTCGGGCTGGTTCTCTGCCTGCAGCCTCCGCCGCTTCTCCAGCTGCACCACGTTGCCCAGCTGCCTGCTGGGCTGCAGGTTTCTCTGCGGGGCCGTGTCCCTGCACTGGGGGCAGCAGAAGTTTGGCTCCGACTCCCCCCAGCACTGGCTGATGCAGGCGCAGCACAAGTTGTGCCCGCAGTCAAGAGTCACCGGATCCGTAAAATAGTCCAGACACAGGGAGCAGGTCAGCTCCTCCCGGATGCTCCCTGCCAGGTCCACCCCAGCCATGGCTCCTGTGCAGAGGGGAGCAGCTCAGCTAGTTTCACTTTGCTGAGTGCAGCAGCCCCTGCAGCCTGGGGCAGGGCAGGGCATTTCTCTTCCTGCTCCCAGCAGGGCCTGGGTGGAGCCCCGGGTGTGAGCAGCCCCAGCCCCTGCAGGGGGAGCCGGGGCAGGGGCTCAGTTAACACCTGTCCTTCCTCCACTCACTTCAGTGCATTGTGTGCGGCTGCCCTGGGGCTGGCTTCTGCTTAAGAAACCCCTGTGCTGGGAGGGGGCTGGTATCAGGGGCGGCTCCTGGCTCTGAGTTAGAGACAAAGTCTGGCACAAGTTGCTGCTGCCTCCTCCACTGTGAGCCAGGAGCCCGGGTGAGCAGGGCTGTTCCCTGAGTGGGGTCTGTGCAGGGAAAGACTGTCCCCCTCTGCCTGGCCCAGCGGGGACTTTCTCTGGGGTTGGAGCCAGCCCCATAGGTAGGGACTCTACACCAGGAGCAGGCAATTATTTCGGGCGGAGGGCAGCTTAAGTTTTGCTGAGCTATTGAGGGCCACATGGGGAGCCCTGCCCTGTGGCTGCCATCTTGGAACCAGAAGTTCCACCCCAACCCATGACCTTTGCCACCAGAAGCCCCTCCCTTGCCCCCCAATACTCCTTTTGGGGGGGATGTACCAACTTAGAACCAGAAAAAAACCCAAATCATACACTAAAAGTCAAACACCTACCATAACGTATTTTAATTTTATTACAAAAAATATTCTTCTTATGATTTGTGTTTGTGTACTGTATACAGGCAACCCCCACTTAGCGCTATTTTGCTATAACACTCATTTGAAGTTGATACCTGATTGCACGTAGCACGCAGCAAGTTTCGTTATAACGCTTGTGCTTGCCATCCTGGGTCATTACAAAACAATTGCAGTCGCCATCTTGGGTCATCAGATACTTTTTGTTGCACATAACGCTCTTTTTGCTTAGGACTTGGTTTTTCAGGAACCGATGAACTGCTGTTCGCTAAGCGGGAGTTGCCTATAAAGATGTGATTTCATAATAACTCAAAAATAAATTCTTAGTTTTGTATATTGTGTAGTATGTGTGTATGGCGGGAGGGGTGTATGTTTGTTCATGGTGGGTGTGGTCCATGAGGTATGTGGTGTGTGTGTGTGTGTGTGTGTGTGTGTGTGGTAAGATGTGGGTTTGTGTATACATGGGGGGTCATGGTGGCAGGGTGTGGGTGTGAGGGAAGGTGGGGGTGTGGGGACATAGCAGCAGGCGGGGTGCTCAGGGCGCAGGTGCCCAGTGGGTTGCAGCTCTGGCTAGTGCTGCACATTGCCTCTCCTGGGCTAATAGGTGACACGTGAGGGGCACATGCTCCCCCCCAAAAAAAGTGCTGGTGCCACCCCTGACAACCAGCGCTCTGGCTGGTAGGGGGTGCTCCTGCATTGAGTCACCCACCTCACTGCACCTGACCACCTTCCAGGCTCTGAGTGCCTCCCTGGTGGGTGTCTCACATCCAGCCACCCTGCTTCCTGGAGTACACTCGCAAGCCTGAGGGGTAACGATGCCACCACCCAGCATCTGGACTGATCTGGGACCTGTGCCCTCTGAGAAACACAGGACTAGTAGTCCTTGAGGGTACTTGACCCACTGCAAGAACTTGGGGTGCTTTCTTCAGTGTAAAGCACAGATAGTGGTATCCTTTAGTCAGCCGAACCAAGAGGACCCCAAGGCATAATCTAGACCCTCTCCTAATAAGTCTCCCATGCTAGGTATAAAGGAGAACTTTACTGGTTGCAAGAAGTAGGTTTGGAGTAGGGGACAGGGTAGAGGAATACCTTAGAGCAAACAGTGTCATGGTAGCCCTTGATCATGCACCTGAGTTACTGCAAGCTATACATCTAGTTAGATCTCAGGTAGCTTACTCACAAGTATCGTCCAGAGGCAGGTGGAGATTCCCTCTGGAGGCAGGCTGTTCATTAGCCATGAGTTTCGAGAGAAAGTGAGTTTCAGCCGGTCCAGCTTCTCTCTGAGTTCTCAGAGTCAGTCCTTCACGTATTCAGACCTTATGACCTCATTTACCTGATCCAGTGAAGGCCAGCAACTGTTGGCTGCCAGCCAGCCAATTTGCAATGCATCACTGGTTGCCAGGTAGACTGGCAGGGTCTCTAGCCCCCTCCCAGTCAAGTTGGCATTGCTTAGAACAGTAGAGAGTTTAAGCCCCCACCCAGGCATATGCTATAGGCAGAGGGAGCAGGTTTCCCCCTCCCTCAGGAATGTATCCAGCTCAGGTTATAAGCTGTGATTATCTCAAGTTACCAGCTGTGTGTTACTGTTTTTGCTTATCATGCAGGAGATCCAAGTTCAAGTCCCAGTTGAGTCAAGTAGAAGTGAGTGAAGTGACAGGGGGGAAAATTCTTGTTGGAGTGGAAGAGGTCATTGTGCTTTGCCCTGCTGTCTGGCTTAAGGGTTAGCAGGGTGAGCTTCTGGGCAGAAGGTTGTGAGCCCAAGGTTGGGTGTGGGCACAGAAACTCACCTGGGATGTGGATGTACAGGAAATTTTCTTGAGCACTCATGGTGCTCAGGTCAGGTCAGGTCCCAGAGCACTTGAAAATGGCCACTGTGGTCCCTATTTTCAAGAAGGGGGGGAAGGAGGGTCCAAGTAATTAAAGGCCAGTCAGTCTCATTTGCATCCTTGGAAAGGTCTTTGAAAAGATTATGAAGGATCATATTTGTGGGGGTCCAGTGGGAAAAATAATGCAGCAGGGAAAACAGCCTGGATTTGTAGCATGTAGATTATGTCTGACCAGTCTGGTTTTGTTTTATGACAGGGTCACAAAATGCTTAGATGCAGGAGTAGAGGTGGATGTCATAGGTTCATAGTTAGTAGGGTCGGAAGGGTCCTGAGTAGATCATCTAGTCTGACCCCCTGCCATGGCAGGAAAGAGTACTGGGGTCAAACGACCCCAGCAAGGTGTTCATCTAACCTCCTCTTAAACACCCCCAGGGTAGGAGCCTGCACCACTTCTCTTGGAAGTTGGTTCCAGATCCTAGCTGCCCTGACCATGAAGTAGCGCCTCCTGATATCTAGTCTGGATCTACCCTCTGCCAGCTTGTGACCGTTATTCCTGGTCACTCCTGG